ACGCTCTGCCACTTTCTTTTTCTCCAAGAGAGGAAAAAGAATATTTGCATAATCCAGTTGAAATTCATAGTGTTACATTTTTGTGACCACTTGAAGACCCAATCATCAGTAAAGCATGTGTCCTCCAGTAAAAAAACTGTGTGGTGACTGATTTACAACATCCACTCAAACAACACACACTCTGATGTACAGAATTTGCACTCGCAGGTGTTTGTGTGTTTTGTCCAACCACTTAACGTGGATGGTTCACAGCGAATCCGTTTAGTGGTGAATACAGACCCCGTTTGCAAAAGACAAGTGACAGAATGAAACTCAGATCATCCCCAACCCATAAACTAGGATGTAATCTCAGCTGGGGACCATGGAGACAGATAGACAGACAGATGCAACACTCAGCAGCAGAAACACATCACATTTAACTTTAGTGTGATGCCTGGATTTAAAACAGACTGTTCTACCATGGTGCAAGCATGGTGAGTAAAGCATGGCCAAACTTTGATAGATGCTGGCCAGTTGTGAGCCCCATACACAGCTGATGTGTTAATCGTTGCTGGTTAACATTTAAATCAACATGAAGCAGGAGGAACATTCACTATGTTTTGGAGTCAGTTTAACACTTTTGAACAGTCAGCATCTATTTTCTTATAGCTTCATGAAGCTTTTGATGACTGGTCATGACAAATATTAGGAGGGCAAATTTCCATTTTTCATATTTTGGGTGGGAGCTGTCCCCTGTGGAGATTACACTGTAGTATAATAAGATTACCTGTAACATTCACCCTGTGACAAATGGCTGCTAATTCACACTTTATTCTGACACACCAGAGAATAAAGTCAGTATAACATTTGACTGTGTGGACACGTACAGCTGACAAGCAGGCATACAACTTTAATTTATTTAAATTTGCCACCTTAGTAAAAGTATTTAAATGGCCCTCGGAACAGGCCACAACTTAAGTCAAGACACTAGTTTTTGTCAGAATAGCATCAAACATCAAAATCAATAAAGCAGTTGATGCAGCTTTATCTTTACTGTGAACTTGGCAAAGTTCAAAAATATTGTGTCAACATACAGTAATATAACAAGTTTTAGCTAAACCTTAAATTTCTGCTATCATCTTGTTTACAAAGAAATGTGAAACACTGTCACTGTTTTTTTCTTTCCTCAGTTTCCTGCATCGTCATGATGAGGCTTTTTCCACTGAGCCTTTAAAGAACAAAGGAGCTCCTCTGGGCTTTTACCACGTCCAGAATGTGAGTGTACACACACACACACAAATGCTGTACTTTAACAACATTATCTTAATGAAGTTGACAGCCCATTTTTGTTTGTTCTTTTGAACAGATTTCAGTAGAGGTCACAGAATCCTTTATTGAGTACATCAAGAGCAAGCCCATTGTGTTTGAAGTGTTTGGCCATTATCAGCAGTACCCGCTGCATCTTCATGGCCAGGACCTGATACGGTTGGTGGAGTTTAAAAAGCAGTTCTTCTGTGCCGATGTTGTATTACTTCAAAGAATTTGTTCTCATGCAGTCACTAAATTTTGTTAGAATTTTGCTTTGCTTACATCTGACTAACACGGATTTAAATATTATTTTTGCAAAAAGAGATTTTCTATAGTTTAGAAATGTTTTTTGTTTTAACAGTCCTCCAACACCATCAAGGAAATACTATCCTATTCCCATGCCTTTATCTAAACCAGGTAAGGCTTGTAATGTTTTCACACTATATACTCAGACAGCAGTATGCTCTGTACCTGTCATCATCATTTCAGCATGTTTTTTGTGTTTGTTATGGTTATACAAGCATGCCTCATATTTCCTTCCACTTTTCTTTCATTTCTTGCTTCCTTTGGATTTTTTTTTTGTCTCTTATTTAATCCCAACATGTGCAATCCTCTTACCCAACTTTGTCCTCCCTCTTCCACATCTCCTTTTTCACACATCCCTTCCATTCTTTCTCACTATTCATACAATATCATATATTGTAAACTCAGACCATACTCGTAAGATAGAGTTGATTCGCTTCCTGATGAGCGGTTACGTGAATGACAAGGTGCTGGACACGTTCTCTGAGCGTGCCAACGCCCTGGCATCCTCTGCAGTGGCCAGTCTGGAGGGCGAGGCTGACCAACTGTCTCACTTCCCCTTCTTCCCAGTACCCAATGAGCCAGTATTAACTGTGCCCAGACACCATGGTTGGTACAGCAGACACTGTAGTATCTAAGTGGCTGGGCATTACATGCACCAGTGTTGCAGTGATTAGACTAGTACTGTGCTTTGCTCTTGTGCTGTTCTGTGACTGCAAGCTGTAGCACAATAAAGCCCTGTAGTGGTTGTGTGTGTTGCAGTTTACAGCAGGTCTGTTTGGGTTCAGTCAGCTCAGTACAGCTGAGCCCTGCTACCTACAACAGGAACACAATTCTGTTAGACAGCAAAGTGCTTTCAGTGGTGGTGTAATCTGTGATTTAGCTCCTCAAAACATCTCATCTCATGTGCCACTGCTGGTTTTAATGGAATGTGTTGTATTTCCTGTTTTCTGTGTGTAGCTTATTTCCGCAATAATGGATTTCATCATTAACACATCCTGTAAATATCGGTATTAGTTGTGTGTGCACTCAGTATCTAGGGTTAGCAGAGTGGTCACATCATATTGTTAATATTGTTCCCCTGTTTCCTCTGAAATTCAGTCAAGATCCAGTTTATCATGTTGATTTGATATAAATGTGTGTGTGTGTGTGTGTGTGTGTGTCAGTTCCAGCCACCAAACTGAACACCATTACTAAATCCAACCTGGGTCAGTGCGTCAGCAAGTATGACCTGCTGGTGTGGTTTGAGATCAGCGAGCTGGAGCCCACCGGAGAGTGAGTGTCTACATGTGCATGTTATATTCACATACAACAGCCAATCAAATTCAAAGTGCTCTAATACTTAAAAGAAAGCAATCCTTGCAGTTGTTAACAGTTTCAGTAATAGAAATCTATATGGTTCAGATACAATACATTATAATAGGTAAGGAAATATGAATAGAATCAATAGAGAATATGAAGATAAAGGAATATACATTGATCAAGATATTAAAGATGTACCCAGTACCTCCATGTACCACTAACAGTAATGCTTGGTGAAATAACACCTCTGTAAAACATGTCCACAGGTGTCTGAGCCTTTTAGTATCTAGTTGCTATAAGCCGCACCACAAACACAGTAAAACCTAATAGGGTAATAAAAAAGGAAAGTTGTTTTGTTGGCCCAAGTAGACAACAGAACTGAGGTTTCTCCCTAAGGCATATTTTAGCACCATACAATATAAAGTCTGTGTAAGCTCCATTAAAAGACTTGAGCTGAATAGTAGTCCCTTTAGTGGACCATGTTGCAAACAGTGGATGCAATTTGTCAAATTCTTATAAAGCATACCATGGGATGTGTTGGTTGAAAGGTCTAGGCTCAGCATGACCTCCCGCCTTCCCTTCACAGGTACATTCCAGCTGTGGTGGATCACAGTGGAGGACTGCCCTGCCATGGCACCTACCTCCTGCACCAGGTACTGGAGATCCACACATTTCCTATTAGACTCACACTGGTCAATGAATTCTATAAAATCTGTTTGCAGTGTGCACAGAATCAGGTTTAATGTTTATCCGGTTAACCTACAAGGGCAATAGGGGCATTTTTTTTCTTTTAAACCAGTAAATTATATTTATTCCTTATAAGAAACAGGTAGAGGCTGAATTTTGTTCTAGCTGTGTCTACTCTGATCCTAAGCTCCTGTCACCTTTGCTGCAGGGGATCCAGCGGAGGATCACAGTGACTCTCATCCATGAGAAGGGTAGCGAGCTCCACTGGAAGGATGTTCGCGAGCTGGTTGTGGGTGAGCAGTCTTCCCACAACAATTACGAGTCCTTTTTAGGAGCGTCCTCACACCAGAGACACAAAACATTGTTTCCCCATTGCTGAAGCACACTAGACTGTCACAGAAGAAGAGGACAGGGTGTTTCTGTGTGTTACGTCATTCACACACCAGAATCAGTGGATACCCTGACGGGATGAACAGGGTGTTTCTGTGTGTTACATCATGCACACAGCAGAATCAGTGGATACCCTGACGGGATGAGAAATTACACTTTTAATTGTCACAAAGCAAGTTGCCAGGCAGCACTGGTAATACTCCACACTTTCCTTAGTCATGACTCCAGTGGAATAAGTGTGACGAGCTGCATTTGTTTGGCTTCAAGCTGCTGCTTTCTTTAAGCAGAAATACTATACCTGTAGCTGAAGGCCTGAAGAATTACATTGAACACATTCGACTTTCAGCTGCTGACATTCTTGTCTAGGGAGTCTCATGAGTCAGGAATCAGGTGTTTTCATTTTGCTGCAGGACACTGTGACAGTGATCAAGTTTGTCCATCAGGCATTTATTTATATTCCATCAAAAGATGTAATTTGAGCTTTTGGGATGACAGTCTATGAATATGTCCCCAACCAGGTCGTATCAGAAACAAAGCAGAAGTGGACGACAGCGCAGCCGATGCTGTCCTGTCCCTCAACATAATTTCTGCAAAGAACATCAAGTCATCCCACAACTCCAACAGGTGAGCTCTGATGATCTTAAATGTAATTGTTCTTAACAAACAGCATAGACAAAACATTTTGAGCTCAGATCTATCAGTTTATCGGTACTAAATGAAGGCTTGCTGCTGATGGTCTGCCTACAGTATATTCTACTCGATTTTCAGCACAGGCCTTCCCAGATGTTTGAGGAGAAACCTTTTTTTTAAACAATACAACAAACAAGATACATACTCCTGACATGATCGTTGCAACATACTGTAGTTGATATCTTGCTCTAAAAACAGATTCAGTTTAGAAACGGTATGTGAGAATAGCCTCTCTTTTAGACTCATGTGTCCTTGTCTTTACTTTTGCTTAAGGCACTTTGGAGTCATTGCATGATCATTTCCATTTTCCCTGCTGTTAATTGTCCTGTTAATTTGTTCCACTGTATCTATTGCCTGACTCTTTGTGCTTCTCTTTTTTTTTTTTCTGTGTACTCTTTTTCCTCCTGCTGCGGCTGGACTCTTGATTGTGCTCAGGCTTTCAATTGATAAGGATATTGATAGGTACCAGTGAGCAGAAAACATAAGGCTCCTTCTGTGAAAGACCTTTATGTTTCTCTTTAGTCCTGTAGATTCATAGAAATAAGTTCTCCACAGTTTGTGTTTTGTTTGCATGTAGCATTAGGTCTACTGTCATTTCATCAACATTTATCTTCTGGAAAAAAGCAAATGAAAGCAGTCTTAAATGTAACTGTACTGCAATTTTGAAACACTCACTTCAGTCCATACTACAGTAGTATGTTGAGCTTCTGCTGCAGCCAGATTCCAGATGAATGATTTTCTGTAAGCAGTTATTCACTGTATAAATCTGTGAGTCTAACTCGGTAATAACAAAGGCCAATGAGACACTAACAGGGCAGTTGTGGCTCTGTCTCTGGGTAAGAGTGCCCCCTGTGGAGTAAGGGCTCCACATATGGTCATCTAAGAACAAACAGCGAAAGATGAATCTATTAAACAATGTGCAATAAGATGGCAGTAAAAAAATATTAATTCCTTTTGGTTTTAATGTTTATAAAATAGTCTTGCATCAATGCCATAAGGTATATTATTTGTATCACAACATGAGCATGCAGAACATACTGTAGGATCCCTATGCCACCACTCTGGTTCGTGCCAGCTGTCGCACACACAAAGCTCGGTGCACTCTGCACGTTCCTGATATTCTGTTACTAACTATTGTCAGGGTTTCACCTCAGTGTATTTCCTCACATCTTGTCATGACTACAGATAAGTGTCAGGCCCACTTCAAGTCCCTGCCTAATCCGTCTGGGTTGTACTCATGTCAGCAGAATTACAGATTCATATCTGACTCATTTAAAGAGCCCATGTCATCCTCATTGTGCTCGTTTCCAGCCATTTAACATTTAATCTTAGGTACCTCTAGATTATCTTGGCACCCCTCATAACTCCAAATAGTCTGTAATTGGCTCAGAATCAGAGCCAGAAAGCCTCTTCCTAAAAACAACACGAATCCACACAACTCCTGCTGCCTGTGTTGTGTCACAAGTGGACAGCACAATGAACCTCAACAGCATTAATTAATTTGAATTTCTACTCTACAGATAGGTAAACAACGGTATATGTACCATGAAAAGAGATGTGTAACATTCTAAACAAAGCAGGTAGTTGAGAAACTCCATATTTTAACTGGCATAATGCAGACATAGTAACTTCTGTAACCTTACAACAGTTCTCTCTAACCTTACAGAAACAAGGCATTAACAGATATGTAATGTGTGTTTGTTTAAACTTACCGTTAAGTCCCACGGAGTAGTGGAAACATCACTCCCTTTCAAGTAGCTCTAAGGTTGGTAAATCCAACCGGTGGTTGCTGCGTCTTCCCCCACACGACCACATACAGTCCCAAAGCAGTGAAACTAATTCCAACAGGTAGAGTAGCACCGACAATAACATCGTGGATCGTTAATCCGCTCCTAAACCAGCAACACATCACATGCGGTAGACACACTGGCCTCAAGAAGTCAAAAAAAAACAAAACAAAACAGGTACTGTTCTCCAGGGGAATCCAGCGTTGATGAGCTGATCAGTCACCGCCGCCGGGGTTTTCACAGGCCGGAAGCTTGTAGGTTAGACCTGGTCAGGTAAAACAATGAGTCCCTGTACAGGAACATTCCCAGACATGCAGTAACCTCAGGCCCTGTATTTTTCTCGACATCCTCTGGTCACAGTGCAGCAGCAGGAGGTAAAATAGGTCCACAAAATCAGGCGCAGTCGATAAATTCCACTTTTAAAATGGCACAGGTGGATGTCAGGAAAGCTCACATGAACACGCAACGGCCTGGATTAAGGGGATCCTTAAACTATCACGTAATACTTTATTTTGTTAGAAAAAAAAGTCTAGCGAGCGAGAGTTTGCGAGACGTGTATAAAACCAGTTGCTTATGCATAGAACTAGGATTCTATAGAAGGTAATACTGTATGAGTTCTTTGCTCTGTGTTTTCATTAAAAGCTGAACATTTTCGCCTTTCCCGCCCAGGACTTTCTACCGCTTCGAGGCAGTGTGGGACAGCTCCCTGCACAACTCCCTGCTGCTGCACCGAGTCACTCCATATGGAGAGAAGATCTACATGACCCTGTCGGCATATCTGGAGGTCAGTCACTATTCCTACTGTGTTGTTTATTTTTGCATTGAGCTCTATATGTGATCCCTCTGGATGTCTGCATTGATGTCTAACATACTTCACCTGTCTCCTCTACACAGCTTGATCATTGCATCCAGCCTGCTATTATTACCAAAGACATCTGCATGGTCTTCTACTCCCGAGACGCAAAAATCTCCCCTCCCCGTTCCTTGAGGAACTTCTTTGGGAGTGGATACTCCACAACTCCTGACTGGTAAGGCTTCAGGCTGCCATGTTGCGGCCATTGTTATAACCCAAATTAAAGACAGTTGTTTCGTGTGTTAGCCAAAGAGTTTACTTACATAGGATTTCCTCTGTTTCACTACAGCAATCGAGTCACTGGCATCTACGAGCTGAGCTTGTGCAAGATGTCTGACACTGGAAGCCCAGGTGGGCAGATGAAAATCATTCAAATAAAGCTGCTAGGGTGTGATTCCTCTGAGAGCTTCATCCTAATGAGTGCCTTTGTCCTGAGCAGGGATGCAGCGTAGGAGGAGGAAGGTTCTGGACACATCAGTGGCTTATGTGCGTGGAGAGGAGAACCTGGCTGGCTGGAGGCCTCGAGGAGACAGTCTCATAGTGGAGCACCAGTGGGAGCTGGAGAAAATGGAGCAACTGCATGAGGTTGGTCCTTAAAATCACATTTACCTGCAGTCTCAAAAGTTAAAAAAGAAAGGTCTCCACTCCTCACACTTTGTTTCCTTTACAACAGAAACTTAACTTGTATCCACTCTTGCCCCTGTCATTGGTCCAGGTGGAGAAGACCCGTCACCTGCTCCTCCTGAGGGAGAAGCTGGGAGAAGCAGCTCCTGTGGGAACAGCTCCCACCACCAAGTCCCTGAGCGAGTCACTGTCTCCCAGTATAAGCTCAGGCACGCTGTCCACCTCCACTTCCATCTCCTCGCAGATCTCCAGCATCACCTTTGAAAGCGCCATCACACCCAGTGAGAGCAGCGGCTACGACTCTGCCGACATCGAGAGCCTCGTGGACCGTGAGAAGGAGCTGGTTACTAAAGTGAGAGCCAGTTCTGTATTATGGGATACTGACAGTGAAGGTTTACACTTTGCTGCATAGTTGTCAGCTGGTAACAGCTGCCTCTCCTTTTGTACTGTGGACTGATCAGTCTCATGTTTGTTGTCTTATAGTGCCTGCGTCTCCTGACACACACCTTCAACAGTGAATATAACCAGGTGGTCAACAGTATCAGTGACTGCAAGGTGAAACATGATACAGAGAAAATTCAAATATAAACTTTGTGTCATAGATCTCATTTTCTTTACATTTTATTTGGAGATTTTAATACTGGCACACAACTAACAACTGTTAGTCCCACTAGAAAGTCAGGGTGTTTAATGTGATCTCTTGTTGTTTATTGACTCTAGTTGTCTGACATCTCACCAATTGGACGTGACCCTTCAGTGACCAGCTTCAGCAGTGCCACCCTCACCCCATCCTCCACCTGCCCTTCTCTGTCTGATTCCCGCTCTGGCTCCATAGACCAGAAGTAAAACTTTTATTTAAATCTTTTTATTTTTTTTAACCAGTATTTTTATAACATATTAAGCTTTGCTTACTCTCAAAATCAAAACACAGTAAGTGTCTGAGGTTATTGACAGGTTGTTAGCGTGATGCTAACTTAATGCAATGTGCTCCAAAGGACCCCAGAGAACAGCTCTCATGCCTCCAGCCCTTCCGGCTCCGACTATGAAAACTTCCCATTGGTTCCCACTCTGGAGACCTCCTACCTAGCACGGGCTGGAAAGAACGAGTTCCTGAACCTGGTGCCTGATATTGAAGAAATGAGGCCAGGGTGAGGAATGTTTAGTCTTTTGCTGTTATTTCTGCCTTTAGCTTTTCTCTTCCTTACCCCACTATGTGTAGCCGTGTCATTTTAAAATGCCAGTATGAGAAGCATCTTACAGCCCAAACAAATTCAAGCAGAAATGATGTGAATTGATTTGAGCTGCTGAAACAGAATGATTTCAACTGGAAGTGAACAGAACTGATCTCCCTGTTCTTGGCAAAAACAAATATTAACTGAAAACTCTCTGGTTTTTGCTCCTTATCAGATCCGTTGTGTCTAAGAAGGGCTTCCTGAGCTTCATGGAGCCCCGCTCCAACTCGTGGGTGAAACACTTTGTTGTTGTGCGCCGGCCCTATGTCTTCATTTACAACAATGACAAGGACCCGGTGGAGCGGGGTGTTCTTAACCTCTCCACAGCACAGGTGGAATACAGCGAAGACCAGCAGGCCATGCTCAAGGTGCAGTTTAAACTTATTGAGCACACTCTAGTCGTCCTCCTCAACATCTGATTTGCAGTCACTACCAGCAGTAATAACTGAACAGTCACAGAACAAATAACAAATACAAATATGTCGTGAAAAACACTGCCTCGGGTTTATTAGCATAATCACAAGATGCACAGCACATGTATTATACATGCATGGTGATCAATCTGCAAGTCAAAGCACAGACCAAAATGTTAAAAACCAGTATTGACACTTTCAGACTTTTACAACTGGCCACCTCTTTAGCAGCCTAAAAACTTGTGCATGCACTTTATCTGACAAGAATGTGAAAAACTTGGCATTATGCAGGTATTTGCTGTTTTCTTTTCAGACTCCCAACACGTTTGCTGTGTGCACAAAACATCGAGGAATCTTGCTACAGGCCATCAATGAGAAGGACATGAACGACTGGCTGTACGCTTTCAATCCTTTGCTCGTAGGAACAATAAGGTAAACACACCCTTGTTTTATTCTACACATCCTTCAGAAATGACATTCTTATCACAATATAAAATCCCATCATTCCCACAGATCTAAGCTGGCGAGAAGGCGCAGCGGTCTAACGAAGAACTGAGTGAGTCGACAGGCACACAGGCAACCATGGCTTCCATTCTTTCGGAAAAGCCTTTGAACATACCAAGTGTTAACACTTATTAATCATTGTGATTCTTGACGGTTTTCTCTTGTAAGTAGACTTGTGGCTTGAGTCTCCTTTCATGCGACTAAAAGTTTCATTTCCAGAGGAATTTTCCTCCCCTCTGCCTCCACCAACCCTCTGCCAGCCTCGCTCTCCTCCTCTCTATTTCTCTCCCCACCTCTTCCTCAGCCTTTTTTGTGTGTATGTGTTTTGGTTTTTATGACAATGTTCGGGTCTAATTTTGTTCTGCTTTGTTGTTGACATTCCCTAACTCCCTAACTAAGTAGCATGTTGTAATAGTCTACTTGTGTGTGCACGACTCTTCGGAAACCGATTTTCATTTTGCCAGTCATCTGTAAAAATTGTCTCTGTCAGTGTTATTTGACTCCTAAGAAGAGTTTTATTTTGTTAGGTTGTTTTTTAAATGAATATGCCCTTGTAATAATTGCAGCAGTAAGGAGACCAGGTTTGCTTACTCAAAAAAAAAAGAACTCAGATAACCTACAGCTGAAGCCATGAAAGGAAAATATACAAATGGTTCTAAGTGACACGCTAGTTTACACTCTGCTACGGAAAGCAAGGCTACTTCAAGAACTATTGCTGCTAATGAAGTCATGAGTTTTCTTCTCTCTCTGAGAGCTGCATCAGGCTGCTGCCTCTATCTAAAGAAGGCTCTAGCTCCCCTGTACCGTCTTCTAAACAGCCTTTTGAATCGAAACATGAATGAAAAATCTGTCAAGGTCCCACCTCAGCGAGACACGAGTGCAGCACTGGATTTCCACTGTCATACGTGTAATGTTTAGATCCCACTTTGTGTACATACACAACCTCAGCCCCCAGTAGTGCTATCAGTCAGCGAGTGGTTACTTAAAATCATGCATTTGTGTCAACATCAAAAATACACGCTAACTGAAGAAACATGCAAAAATATATGAAGATTAATGCTGAGAAATCATGATGAAGGCTTGTTCCTGTAGACATAGATCTTTGTCCATGTCCTTCTAGTGTTTCATCCCAAAAACAGGGTTTTAATGATATCATTATGATGATAGGAGGAGGAAGTGGAAGATGGACAGTGCTCTACAGAGAAAGTGTGTACATACTGGGATTAGTGTGGTAGTTAACTCTTATTTAGAACATTCCTCTCAGCTCCTCTTAGCAATTTTTCATATACTAACGTGTTGAGCGTCAGAGCTCAAGAGAGCCTCAGCATTTGCTAATGTTATTTTTTTTTTCACCATCTTGATACGGAAGGAACTAACTGACTAAAGGAAACATGGAAAGAAGGTGTGATTGCAATGCTCTGGCCTTGACACCAGTTGTAGGTACTCAGTAGTAGAAGATGAAGCTGCTTGCACACAGACTGCCGGACAGAAAATGATAGTGTACCCCATGACTCCCCTCAGTGTCACACCAGTGTTGGGTGAAATCTCTATAACATGAAGTACTCACTGTTAAGCAGCGCTACATGTTACCGTGGGTTCATTTTCTATTTAGTTCTTCAATTGAAGCTTCTTAAATAAGTTGAGAATAGATTCTTTTTTTTTTTTTATTAACATTGTTGATTTTTTTCTACTATACTCTTAATCATTCCATAGTGAAATTTTATATGCATTTATTTCTTAACAATACTAGTGTTTAACTTTATTTTGCACATTAACACATATCTATAGCAAGACGAAGGCAGGTCACACATGTTGAGTCCAGGATCGTCCACTATCAGGAGCACTGATACGAGCACATATGTAAGGTTACACTGGATAGCTGTTATTAGAAAGAATATAGTGATATTGAAGGGACGACATATACTCAGAGGTTTTAGTTCTGATATTGTTTATGAAAATATTTGCTCTGTACATTGTAATACAGCTGCTATATTTGGCTCCAAGGAAATGGTGACATTTGGTGCCTCTGTCTCTGCGAGTGGCAGAACTGTGCTAGGTACAGACAGGCATTAATCAACTCTGGCCAGCCAACCAGTAGTAGGCCTACTGTATCGTATGAAAGGGATGTCAGGGTTAAATGTGTTGAAGCAGGGGTACCCATTACCTGTTATGAGTATTAGTGGAATTCTTGACAACATATCTTCTTCATTTTTTGGCTGATTTAAAGACAGAAAACATTCAAAATGAATGACATCACTGGCCTCAGGTTAGCTAACCTGCTGGTTAGAGGAACCTGAAGGAGGTGTTTCAGAAAAGATGTTTTGTCGATTAAGGAAGCCATGCAGGGGGAAAAAGAGAATCAGAAATCATCCGTGCACTGACCAAGGCTCAAAGTGCACCATACCTCACGTTAACCTCAGTGCACTCAACATGTGGGAGATGCATATCAATAGGAATACATGTCAGAGCAAACATTTTCACTTCAGTGACTAATTTGGAGAGGTATATTGTTTTGAGATTGTGTATTTATTTTTTGCAATGTATATATTAGTTTGCAGCTCTTTGCACATATTAATAAAACGTTCAACTAACTGATCAAATAGTCTGTGCGGTTTAGTTGTTCTACTCAGAATGAACCAAATGTGGCAGCCTCTCCCAGTCTGAACTGGGAGAGAGGTGAATGTACTATGAAGATGTTTCTCCACCATTTAAAAAGTAAAAAATAAAAAAAAAGAGAACTAAAATGGAATTCACTGCATCTTTTCAGGAGAGGTGAGTTACATTAATGCTTCCTCTTTATTAGAAAGTAGTTTGAGTGATAGTTTGCTTTGATTTGAAGAATATTTATCACTGCTCATGCTAACCAGCCATTTGAGTTCTAACACAATAAAGGTAGTTTTTAACTCATAGTTTTTCTAATATCAGGGAATATAATACAAAGTAGCTAGTGACATTAAAATGACAGTATACTACTGTTTGTGCCGGTGTCTTTCTTCACCTCAACAGTTTTATCCCCGTTGATGCCTTTCAAATAAAACTAGCCATGATAATTCACATCTTCCCCTCCGACAGCTAATATCAGTCATTTGCGTTCCCTTTGGATTTGTTCAAAAGAAAATGACAACCCATGACATTAACACTGTACATTATTTGTCAGACTGATTTCATTTTCATACTTATTTTGTAAATATCTGTGTCGTACGGAGCTTGAATTAAAATGTAAATATGTTTACTGTATTTGTAATAATTATAATCCATTCGCTGTATAGCATAGATGTGTCATGCAGATATCCTAATTCTGTGTATGGTAATCTTGCACCATTGAACTGTCTAGTGAATGAGGCAACAATAAAAGTGCAAACTGCATCGGCAGAGCAAGTGTGGCTTGTTTGTCTTTTTTGTGTACAACTTCACTCCCATCTTTACACGTATTCTGTAGCAGAAGCCTATTTTTTCCCACAAAAGAAGACAAAAATGTTTAGAATGACAAAAATAAAAATGTCCATTGTAAATAAAAGTTAATCCAAACATGGCAAATCAAAATTATACAATTCTGATTTATAATTTTTATAAATTTTTTTTTTTTACTTAATACCTTATTATTTTTCCTTTGTAAGCCTGAAGTCAAGACTTTAAATGTAAACATTTTGATGTCTCTTATTGTATCTTAGCATCTTAAATTTCTGACTTACTGTAGTCTCTTTTCAATGGACGCTAGACAGGAAAGTGCTTATCGAAATAGATTTTTCACAGTATTTTTATTCTGTATTATTAAACCTGGTAATCATTCCTCCTCCCTGTCTCATGTATGTGAAGATGTTCTGACAATAACCTGGTTTAGTGCATAGTCATTTTTCTGTTATCTGCCACAGATTACTAGTGATTATAAAGAAATGGGTGTAGGATTAGTGACTGTAATCTTATACCATACAGTAAGGAGACTGGGACTCACTGTGTACTGTGCTCTTTCTACATTTAGTGACACATTACTTTAGTTTTGCATATTTTCAGTTTAATTAACATAAACAAACTGAAACCCTGGAGTTTTGGGGGCATCAGGCAAGTGCCTGTTTCAGTCCAGTCAGTACTGGTGCATCAGTGTGTACCTTGCATTTTACTGTTGTATCTACTTTTAACTACTGTAGGTTGCTTTAGTCCAGTGGTTCCCAGTCTTTGGTTTTGACCATAAATCTGAGGGGTCATGAGATGACTGCTAGTGTAGGAAAGAAGAACAAAGAAAAATGTTTTCTACATGCATGTGTGTGTGTGTGTGTATAAACTAACCCACTCTCTGATGGAACTGCTAACAATAGCCATCTGAAAAGTGGCATGTGCCCCCAAATAGACAATGTAAGATGTCACAAGCCAAAAAGCTGCTTTAACCTTGAGTAATGCATTGTAGTTTATAAGCTATCAATAAGTTGAAAATGTCGACTGACCAAAAAATAATCGTTAACTATTCTGATAAATGATTAATCATGTCATTTAACAAATAATATAGTAAACTAAATATTTTGTTTTGTGGACTGCCATCATAACAAAATAGGACATTGCCTTTGACTCCCTGAAGATGTAATAGACCAAATGTTTGACATTTCATAGACTAAACTATTACTCGCAGAAATAACTGGCAGATCAATTAAATGAATCGTTAATTACAGCCTTGTTCAAGCATACATATTGTTAACGCCTGTTAAATTAATTGATTGGGCTATATACATTTTATTAATGAAACACACAGGACCCACTTGATGTGCGCTGACGTTTTGTAAGTGACGGCCGGAGAAGCCAATAGGAAAAGGGATACATCTGCTAAGAATTATAAACAAATCAGAATTCGATCGGCATCGCCTCAGTTCGCTGAGCGTCCGCTGATTGGTGGATGCTTCACACGAGGGTACGTGGGCTCCTCCCTGTACCTGTCACGTTGAAACGAGAATGAGGAAGTGAAAAAGAGGAGCGAAGAACAGTGGACCTGACCGTGAGCTCGACTGTCATTTGGACACTGTTACTTCACGTCTATTCTATCCGTAGAGCACCATGGTTGAGTAAGTTGCATATGTGTTTTGACTTATTTGAATAATCGATAAACTGGGAAAGTTACAGCTGATATTCGTGGCTAGTTAATTCATTGTAGCCTTTCTAACGTTAGTCCTCATGTTTGGTTTTCATTCGCTGGGTAACGTTAATCCTCTCAGTCGCTTAGGGTAAAGTGATAAAGCCAACAATCTAAAGTTATACTCAATGGCACACCACAGTGAAAACACGTATTTAGAATTTGTTTGTTTTAATCTAAAATGTGAGTTGCTTTTAAGGTACATCGTGTTTGCTTACATTTTTGCTGAGTTGAGTCCACCTGTAGAAGTAATTGGACTGATTGGTCAAAGTGTAGAAAGGGTAACAGAAATTGAGGATGTAACTGGTTCCGTGAATTCCTGAATGACTGCCACTGGTGGTCAGGAGGGAGCGAAACAGAACGTTAGATGCCAAGATTCAGGAGTAGGTAGAGGTAACTGGTTAGGTTCGGGTCAGGGTGAAAGTGAATTCAGATTTAAAGCGGCTCACTGTATGGGGTGATTTAGAATCACAAGTTGTGATATTAAACCTGTGTTTTTATTTCTTTTCATAAAAACACATTAAGCATAAGGATTTGAGATACATTATAATAATTTATTCTTTCTTTAAGTTAGAAATATTTATGTCAGTGGAGAGTTCTTGTTTGGACTCAGCCTGTGGCCAGATGCCCAACTCAGTTAATGTGATTATTACTCTTATCTTCACAGAGCAGACATTGCACTGATTGGTTTGGCTGTCATGGGCCAGAACCTCATCATGAACATGAACGACCACGGCTTTGTGGTAAGATGACTTCTGCGTCTATCCCACTGGTGGAAAGTAGCTAAATTACAGTACTGAAATGCACTTTTGGGGGATCTTGTACTTGGAGTATTTAAATTTTATGCCATTGTACTTGATGCTTCTTCTCAACTGAATTTTATAGGTGCATCTTGTACTTTTTTACTCCACTACATTAATCTTGGTTAGTAGTTAGGGGGCTCAACCCCAACTGTATGTTGGACCACTGGACTAAGCAAGCTAACTGTATATAAAGTAGTTAAAACTAGCTCCACCTCAACCAGAACACCCATGATTTTATAATGCCAGTATTGGTCATAGGGACTAGTTCTCTGCTGAACCTGAACCAGTACATTTAATTTGGTGCTTCAAGTAGATTAATCTGACTTTTTACTTGGGTAAGATTTTGAATTTGAAGTTTATAATTGTAATTTAATATTTGTCATTATTGTAAGTGCTTCTTCCACCACTGGATTGCATCCACAAGTCCTGGCAGTCAAGGGTTGTTCACTCTTGCCTAGTTTCTGTATCAGTAATCACAACACTTCTCCACCAGGTCTGTGCCTACAACCGAACTGTATCCAAAGTGCACGACTTCCTGAAAAACGAGGCTAAGGGCTCCAAGGTGATTGGAGCCGAGTCTCTGGAGGACATGGTGTCCAAGCTGAAGAAGCCAAGGAGGATCATCCTGCTGGTCAAGGCTGGACAGGCTGTGGACGACTTCATTGACAAACTGGTCTGTGGCTTCTGCTGAGCTGTGTTGTGGGAAAAAACTGGAGTCTTTTCTAGTTAAACTGACTGGCTTTGTGCTGCGTTCGTTCTTCAGGTTCCTCTTCTTGAGGCTGGGGATATTATCATTGACGGTGGCAACTCAGAATACAGAGACACAACAGTAAGACAGAATCGCTGTTAAGCAGTAAATCTTTCTTTGTAATTGAGGAGATTCTCACTGCACTTACTTGTTTCTTATACAGCGGCGGTGCAAGAGTCTCAAAGAGAAAGGCTTGCTGTTTGTTGGCAGTGGAGTAAGTGGTGGAGAGGAAGGGGCACGTCAGGGCCCCTCACTCATGCCAGGAGGACATAAAGAGGCCTGGTGAGTCATCACCAACTCTTACACTTCATAACTCCTCACACTTGGAGCTGCATGATGTAGGGCAAAGACATGCTAAAACAAATACTACTGATAGAAAATGGCCATGTGAGAGACTTTGAACATGTACAAATAGCAGAGAAGGTTTATTCATCTATTTGCATTCATAAATTAAATTTGCACACTTGCTGTATTTTTCAGGCCACACATTAAAGGCATTTTTCAGAGCATCGCTGCCAAGGTTGGAACAGGAGAACCTTGCTGTGACTGGGTGAGTGCAGTTTGTCCTTGATACCTGATGCTTATTATACTAATTAGCCGGGGATGCAGCAGCTATTGTCTTGTCAAATATTCTGACTGCTTTTCCTCTGCAGGTTGGAGATGAAGGTGCAGGACATTTTGTTAAAATGGTCCATAATGGTATCGAGTATGGAGACATGCAGCTGATCTGTGAGGCCTATCACCTGATGAAGGATGTGCTGGGTATGGACCATGATGAGATGGCACAGGTGAGTATTTGAAACGAAATGAAATAAAAAAAAACACAATGCAGCTGACTGTTTTTCATGCTGTGGTTGAAACACTCAGGCTTTCGACAACTGGAACAGGACAGAGTTGGACTCGTTCTTGATTGAGATCACAGCCAACATCCTTAAATTCAGGGACTCTGATGGTAAACATCTGCTGCCCAAGATCCGTGACAGTGCTGGACAAAAAGGCACAGGGAAGTGGACGGCCATTTCAGCCCTGGAGTATGGCACCCCCGTCACTTTGATCGGTGAGTGAAAGAAAAGAGGCTGTAGACAAGGAAGTATCAGGTTTCCTTCTCTCTTCCTCCAGTGCCGGCTGCTTTCAGTAAACTGTTTGTCATAATGACATGGCAAAAAGTATTACGTCACACTTATGGAGATTTTAACATGGTGCCAACAAGTTGCAGAGCAGTGGCCCTAGTTTTTTTTCTTAATGTTCTTGCTTGACGCTGGCAGTGTTGGAGATTCTCTTGTGAAGGCAGAAACAGAATAGCTACAAAAAGTTTCATTGTGTGAGAGCTGAGCCAGTCAGTGTGGAACAGGCTGGTACAGTTTGCATCGGTGGATTTCTGCCTCTAGTAGGGATAACATTCCCAACCAGGGACGGTTCACTCACTGGACATGTTCCCTGTCTCTCTCTCTGCCTACTGGTTGCATCACCAAGCTGTGCAGTTTTTAGCAAGTCATGCTTGGCCAGCTGGGGTTTTTTTCCTCTTATCTTAATACAGTGAGAAGGAAATTCTCATCTTTAATATGGTACCGGGCAAGCCTTTGTTTTTTGTTATGTGGTGACAGTTGGAAAGCCCTACCTTCACAACAGTATTATTATCACTACCAGTAAGTCATGCTCCTTGGGCGTTTTTTTGATTTGATTTGATTTATTCCTTCAAGCATGAAAAGACAGTTGATATGTCAACACACATAATTTTACACATATCCAACAAATGCTAATCAATTTGCTTATACCTAGTACATGCTTGAATGGAGTAGGAAGAAGTCAGACTTATCCAGTCCTACCCCATGACATCATCTTACCATCATTGATTTGCAAGCAGTAAATGATTCACTTCTACACCACACAAGTATTATACTAAAAAAAAAA